GATGCCCTGGGGGTAAGCAGATAAACATCAAATTTTCATTCTTGGCTGAACTATCCCTTTAACTTACAGTACAGAAATATCTGATTGTCTGATTTCACTCCTCTCCAGGTAAATCTCCGAACATTATGCTCTCAAACAACTGCACAGGCGAGGTGCTCATAGATAAAGAGCATGTTTGTGCATCCCAGTGGGATGATGGGATGTCCGACAAGTTATGTGACAGCCTCAGTTGTGGTAAGGCCATCGACAGCTGGCCCACAGTCTCTGCTAAAAAAAATCGCAGGCATTTCAGCTGCACTGGCAAGGAGACACTGGTGTGGCAGTGTGGCTTTAAAAATGACAGCTGTAAGAACATCCTCTCTGTGGCCTGCAAAGGTGAGCCATACACGTATTGTTGGACTGTAATTAGGACTGTTACTGTAGTTAAATAATGAATTGATGTTCAATTTCCCTTTGAAACATCCAGTTTTGTGGCTGTTAGTCAATTTTTGTTTGCTCATATGCATGTGTACTCCTAATTCATGTTTACAGATAGATGCACGTTATATGAAATATTAAAAAGACTAGTCATATGCTTAGAATATGCAAAGTTGTGCTATACTTTCAATGACAGAAGTTATATTTGTATTGCAGATAGTGTTGAATTCGGCACTACTGAGAAGTGTGGCGGGAAGCTTGGGATCAGGTATAAAGGGCAATGGGAATATGTCTGTGGAAAACTGACTGAGGCTGATACCAAGAAGGTTTGTGATGTGCTTAAGTGCAACGATAGTGGAGAACTACTGCTGGATGAACAGAAAATAGCAAAGGAAATAAAGGTGAAAATTGATTGCCCAAAAGAACATTACAAGATTTTTCAGTGCATGCACCATCTCAAAAAAGATAAATGCAGTCATGGACCTGCTGAAATCATATGTGAAGGTAAAAAAAAACACAGATGCCATACACTTTAATATAGGAAAATCATTTTTATTGTTCTGGGATTTGTTTTGCCACTGCTTGCCTTCTTGCATGAAGTTAAGTAGCTGTGAGTTTACTTTAATAAAGGTAATGAACATTCCAACCTGTGAAACTGTTTCATTAAAACTGCAGGTTATATTCCAAAAGGAGATAATTCTCCAGTGGGTCTGATATTGGGTCTGTTAGGAGGCGTGCTGGGGTTGCTGATTTTGTTTTTAATGTGGGCAAATCGGAAACGCCTACTTTTAGCCTGTGAGTATCACTTGCACCATGCAGAAAGACATTGTTCTGATTTGCAGATAAACAATATTTTTACATGATGAAGTTCAAAGTGATATTTGAAAGGCCTTCATCTTTTTAACCTGTTGGTGGCAGTGTTTCCCACTCCTTGTCTCACTGCACATCAAACAATAAC